GCTAATCAAGAGGCTATTCCGACTTATGACCGTAAACACCGTATATAAATTTAAAGTCAATCGGATATTAATTTTAGCCTCTAGAGCGTCCACAAGGTATTTCAAAGTGATCAAGGGCCATACCTCTGGCAGTATTTATCGTAAATCGCTGAAAATCAATAAATTTTCATGGCAATCTTACGTGCTTTTTCTCGATTTTTTAAATTAATTTTAATCCTTAATTTCTCAAAGGGAGGCAAGATAAAAATTTTCAAACGACATCGTTGAAGTTGGATCGGCGAGGTCTACTTACATCCCAAGTTTCATGAAAACGTGCAACTATTATAGAATTTGTCAAGTTGGATTTTATTTCCGGGAAGAGATGTCAATGACGTCATATTCGAAATACGAAAATGGCAGAATTAATGTAAATGTTTTAAGGTACTCAAAGAAAAAAAGAATTAGTAAAATAGGTCAAATAGTCACAAAGTTACAGTTATGTAGGTCAACTGTTGTCAGTAAAATTCGGTGATTTCGGATTCGTACAACGTTTTGAAAATATACTCTGCAAAAAAAAAAGTAGGGGATATTCAGAAACAATACAAAACTTCGGAAATACACTGCTGTTTTTATTAGAGGTAACCAGTGTATGTTAATAACAGGCCAATGCTTAACTAGTCTTTCCCGTTCAATACTTTCTGATTATTTTAGTCTGGATAACATTTCTTATCACAATTCCGGTTGTGTTATAAACATGTCCGAGAAAACTAAATGGACACAGGTCGCCAAATATTCCTACGCCGTCACGAAACAATGGCCCAAACTATTTTTAGTCCTCCTCTCCCTTTTCCCTGGCGATTTTTGTTGACTTTTTGGTGTAGAATTGAAGAAAAGGGTTAGAAAATGTATTTTCTGCCAGGTTTTGGTGAATATTCATAATTTTGATGCGGAAGGATACAAGAGTTGAGAGGTTGGTTAGGTTGAAATGTAGGGCCTAAAATTGCATGTTTACTAGTCTCTACTTCCAGCTTGTGTATCTCAAATTTTTCATGAAGAACCTCATATGTGCTTTTGGGCAAGAGGTTGCCACATGTTGCTCTATCAGTGGTAGAAAGTGTTCTACCCAACAAAAATGTGGGAAAAAGTTCGAGCCGGTCTAAGATACGAGAATTAACATTAAAGTCAGTGGGGAAATCCTTAGTGATCTGTGGCCAAATACGGAGTTCTAACACTTTAAGGAATGGCAACTCTTGGACCCAGCATATTGGTGGTGGTGGTGGGGGGGTCTATAGTAAGGGTCACCTTCTCTGACAGATCGACGGTGATCGAATGGCCGCGTGTTTACAACAGTGGCACTGACGTACTATTATTGTAAATAACATACGAGAGACGTGACTCACTGCTGTAAAGTATGCTTACTATTCCTACGACACCTGCTACAACTGTCTTGCTGTTTTTGACAACTGGGTAGGCTGTTGTTATTTTCGGTTTGTGTTTTGATCTAAATTTGCCTTTGGATTATGATTTTGAACATTCTTTGTTGGTACTTAATTTTTTTATATCGAATATTACATATTGGTCCATACAGCAGTGTTACATTTCATTTGAATTATATTGCCTGCTTTTCTGTGCGATAAGAAAATCAGTTTAACAACTATTGTTTCAACTAAAATATTTTTTTTTTTATATTTTAAGGACAGAGAAAGCATGTTTTGGAAACAGCAGTCCCACTTATTTTCAACTTTCGACACAGTTCATCAACCCCCAAATCTGGAGATCGGCATGCCATAGCCAATAAACGTAGGAAAACAATGGAGGCTCCCTGTAACATCAATGATGTTGGAAATGAAGAAGAAACAATTATGGCACCTGAATATAATGAGACAGACATTTCCACACAGTGTGCACCAGAGACTGAGAACAAAACCAGTCAATGCAGCATCTTAACAGTCTCGTCATCACGATTCTCCATGGCTAACATGAAAAAAAAATCAAAATGCAGTTAAGTACTATACTGGTTTCGAGGACTACAATCATTTCATGATGATGTTTAATGTTTTAGGGCCAGCAGCAAAAGAACTTAATCAAAGACAGTCTAGTTCAGATCCAAATGAACAGGGTTTTTTTAACGATGATAAAATTGCGCATTGCTAAAGACGATGAAGAACTTTCATACATGTTTAAAATCAGTTTCATCAATTTTTATTACCTGGATCAATTTTATGTATTATCAGTTGAAAGATTTAAATTGTGGCCTGACAAAAATGAAGTCCTACAATTACATGCCATCTTGGTTCTCGAAAAGGTTAAATTCTACCAGGGTTATCTTGGGTGCAACGGAGACCCCCATTATGAAAACCTAGCAATGTTTCTGCACAAAGTGCTACCTTTTCGACATAAAAGAACAAGAATACCATAAAAACGATGGTTGGCTGCACTCCTAAAGGCTTAGTGTCAATGTTTCTGCACAAAGTGCTACCTTTTCGACACACAAGAACACCATAAAAACGATGGTTGGCTGCACTCCTAAAGGCCCAGTGTCATTTTTAAGCGATAGCTATGGTGGGTCAGCATCTGATCGTCAAATAATCGAAAGATATTCATTGCTTTCAGGAAAAAAAATTTGTTTACCTCAGGGGACTCGATAATGGCTGATCGAGTAATACTGGTCCAGGATCTTTTTGCCAGGTAAACACCCCTCCTATGCTGAAGGGAAAAAGTCAGCTTGAACCTGAGGAAGTAGTAAGCGACCGACGAATAGCCTCAAAACGTATTCGTGTTGAAAGAGTTATTGGTTTAGCTAAATCATACAAGATTTTGCAAAGACCTCTACATCAAAATAGAATTCAAATGGGATCAAGGATTGTATTTATCTGGTTTAACCTTGTTAAAGATAAACCTGAGAGCAGTTTTTTTTTCTTTAAATGAATAGGAATAACGCTAAATCTCCTAAATAAAAAAAATTGACGAAAATCGGCCATTCCGTTATCGATATATTTAGATTGGAAAACCGCTATTGCACCTGCCTCGTAAAATCCAATTAGCATACGAGCTAACTTCCGGTATTTCCCCGAAACTTGTCATGACGTCACAAGTGTGCAACGAATGTAAACATAATGGCGACCACCTGTGGCGACACGGATAGCGTATCAAATTCAGAGGACATTGATGAATTAAATTTGTCGTACAATTCATCGCCGTTTGATGATTCAGACGGAGACTTCATTGAAGACAACTATAGAATTCACCCATATCAATTTGAGCCTGACGCAGACTCCGGGGCGTCAGATGAAGACGACATTATCAGCGACCTGAACAACTATGATCGTCTCGATTCCAATGAATGGTTAGTTATTATTATGTATTTGTTATCTACATTACGATGATTATTATTCGAGATTTTCTATCAATCATATTGTTTATATAAAATTGAAATTAAAACTTCCGTTGACTTTGATATGGTATGATTTCAGTTCTTTTCATTTCATTTCCATTAATAATAGACGAGAAAATTAGGCCTATTCCCTGTTGTTCTTAGGCTTATTTTTATTAATTATAATTTAGTAATAATACGGTTATGAGCTATGTATGCTAGTCCTATAATGGATTATCTAGGACAAGTTTGTTTATTGTTTTTTTTTTAAATTTTATGAATAATTTAATGGTGTAGGCCTACTGCACAATTTCTGCCCCAGTTGAGTTACTATTGTCAACTTAAACATGCATTATGCAAAAGCTAAATCTGCCTATTGCAGGTCTTTCTTTAGGCCTGAAATGTTTTCTAAAGTATTAATTAGACATTAATTAACTGATCCAGGCCTTATTCAACTCTCGATGGCATCAGATTTCTCCGATATTAAATAGATTAGAATGGTTCAGCGATACTTTGATTTGATCAAATACGTCTCTCAAACCTTCAAAGGCTAATATCTTCGCTTGCAATTGAGTAATTTGAATGAAATTTTAAAATTATTCATTTTACATCATCAACTTTCGAACTATTATAGCAAGAATGGCTAGTTATTTATCTAAATCTTACATAATGTATCGTTAAGTTATTAAGAATTAAGGCCAATATTGTTTTTTGTATGACCTTAAACCACATTCCATTTAATTTTTTTATCAAAATTTAACAAATTTATAAGTGAAATACATACATTTTTATGTATTTTAGGTGTCAGTGTGACAAGTGTATAACAATGCCAACTCTTCCAGAGTGCGTCTACTGCATGGAAATACAGCCTGTGGTGGATGTTAAAAAAGACAATCCTTCTAATAAGTGCCTCACCGACCACCCTGGATTCGAGCCAGTATGCTTTAACTTGTATGTATTACGGACTGCTTATTCAGGATACAGACAGCATTATAAAGAGGAAATGGACGAGACACAAGAGTGAGTTTTACAGACCTTTTTGTAATTACTTACATGTAGATTTTGCTTTAGAAGTGTCTAATGTGTGGGGAGGGGAAAATGGTCAAACAGTAACACTCACGCTTTAGATCATAGGTCTATGATTGAGGCAAATTTCGATCCCACTTTTATACATAGCATGGAGTAGAGTCACCTGCTTAACCCAAGTACCATGTTTTCCGGCGTGGTTTCCCCTTGTCAGTGATGCAGGACGGAGGGCCTGAAAAGGACAGTTGTTTAGTCTTTCGGATGATACGAAAAACCGGGGTCCCGTGTATACATTGGAATGCACGTAAAAGATCCCTTGGCAGTTGGAATTCGATATAAGAGTAGGGGATTGTGCCGCAGCCCGGGCAAAATTTCCCTCATAGCACACTGTATGGCGTATGCCCGTCTTCATTAGCCCAGTGAGCAGAACAGCAGGACGTTAAACCCCATTTCATTTCATTTTAATTTTACCTGTAGGCTTAGCAGGCTGAAGCCTAAGGCCTCAAGATCCAAAGGGGCCTTCAGTTCAAGGTGTATAGTATAATATTTTTGACACTGTCATACGCCTGACATGGGGATATGGAGAGGACCCCTCTTCATAAAAATCTGGCACTGCCTAACCTCATGGGTTTTCAATGTTCCTCCCCATTGTAAAAAACCCTGGCTCATAATCCGTACATTATGTTATTTAGAAATGACCTATTTTGTTAAAACAATATACCAATACATGTATATTAATTATATATTTCAGGAGACATCGATACATGGCCTATCGACAGTTTGTCAGGTGGTGTTGGGGCTATTTAGGCAGACACAACCGGGTACCAATACCATCTTGTGTTGTAAATAAGATCAGAGAGACCTTTGCATCAACAAATGCCACAGGATTCAAGTGGGAATAAAACAATTCAAGTACATATTCAGATAAAGTTGTCTTTTTATTTATCTTCAGGATTCCCATCCCTGTACCAAAGCTAAATCTTGATTTTAACTCGGACAGAGCAGCCTTCTTGCAAGGTCGATGAAATTCCTGACAAAGGGCTGGTGGGGCAACTGGTAATAATTGTACATCTGACATCTTTGTCTCCAACATTGATCGATCTGTTGCCAATTCAATCACCTTTGTTGTCAATGTATCTGCATATGCTGCAAAGACAGACAAAATTATACAAGTGTGATTTTAAAGGGTCACAAGATATAATACACAAAAACAATATTCTAAAACATTATTTGGCTATGGTATAATTTAAGCATTTTTTTTTATTAGCCTTCGGTCATTTTGACCTTTTTTTATGTGTTTATTCTCCATTTGCAATAATACAAATTTCACATATCATATGTTGGCATAACAAGCATTTCTTCAGTGAGTAATCTCCTTTTTTGAGTTTTGGGAAAATAATTCTCCAACCAGCTTCTCCATTTTGATTAATAAATTGCTCCCTGTTTGTATTTTCATTGAAGTACATTACAGCCAAAAGTAACCTTAAAATACGAAAAAGAACATTTTTGAGGATAACAATTTAAAATATGTCACATTAAAAAATATGTATGAATAAATTATTTATATTATTTGGAGCCCCAATTAAACCTTGATTTACCTGCATAATTGTCCGTGGTAGGAAAAGCCAATCATCTTAGGTGCAAAATGGTTAAAAACACCATGATAAGATTCCAGACATGAGGTCTGCTGTCCTGTTGAAAGCATAGGTATGTCTTTTTTCATTTGTCTAGATGAAACAACATCCTGGAATCGTTCACATAGTTTGGTTCCTATAGAATATAAAAACTGATCATCATTTGTTTACTCAAAGCGACATTAGGTAAGATTAAATAAAGAACCGACAGTTCTCGCTATAATAGTTAAAAAAAAGATAATGAAATGTGAAAGTTTCAGTCAAATGGCTTTACCCTGAAGATGGATATTAGCAATTCAGATTTAGACTACCCACGATCGTTGTTAAATTAAATGGGGTTTAATTTTCTACTGTTCTGCTCCGAATTGGGCTAATAAAGACGGGCATACGCCATACAGTGTGTGCTATGAGGGCAATTTTGCCCAGAGAGCGGCGCTACGGCCTACTCTTATATTGACTTCCAACGGATCTTTTATGTGCACGCCAATGTGTACAGAGGACCTTGTTTTTCCGTACCATCCGAACGACTAGACAGCTGTCTTGGTCAGGCCCTCCGTCCTGCATCACTGACAAGGGGGAACCACGCCGGAATATTTTGGATGATCTTTTTCGGCCAATGCAGGGATCGAACACCCGACCTCCAGGCTAGCAAGCCAGCGTCTTAGCCACCGGATCGTTGTTAAGATAATAAACAAAGTCTCAATTATCTAATGTATTTTTTTAGCCATCAGAAAATGTATTCAAATCCAATAAATATTGCAGGCTAATGATGGCATCGAGAGTTGATTCTGTATGGTCTTGATAAGTTAATTAATGTCTAATTAATAGTTAAAGATACATTAGTTAAGAGTTTAATAAAAGAGTTGGTCATTCTTCCTATAATAATTCAAAAATAGGTGATAAAAAAAGAATATTGAAAATTTCAGAGTGGTAACCACAGAACTGGTATATTTGCGACTTAGCACCGTTTTCCCATTTTTAAATTAAATATTTATATGGTGAACCATTCTAATCTATTTAAAATCTATAGTAACCGATGCCATCGAGAGTTGATTATGGTCTTGTTTTGTTACTAAATGTCTAATTAATAGTTTATATAACATTTCAGGCCTAAAGAAATACTTGCAATGGGCAGATTTAGCTTGTCTTCTCAGTACAGGCTATTTAGAAAAATACATTTGAATATTGATTCTGAGGTTAGGCATTCAATGCAGTCAATTTCCAGCCTACAAAGATTTAAATCTTTAGTTATTTTTGCAATGGGAGAAGTCTCTTCCTAAAACCCATATATATAATTTACCTGGTTTTAGCCACAATTTCTTCCTCTCACTGCCCACCAATTCCCCATGACTGCAAATAGTGAATAAATCACCATGTCCCTGGTGAACATTTTGAATGTGATTTTGAACACTTAGCCATTTTTCTAGCATTAATTGTCCATCAGCAGAAAGAGTAGATGCAGCAACCCAGTACAAATGATTGCTTACACTTTTTATCCAATGAACAATATCACCACGATCTTTTTCTTTGGAGAGCGCAGTAAGCTTCTTCTTTAAACCTGAAATAATTTACAAGACATAATGTGAAAAAAAATACAGGGTCCCTCAGGCCTATGCCTAAGCTGGGTTTTGCTCTCATGACCCAAATGTTTCACACCAATTTTGAAATGAATACTTTAAGAACTGTAGCCTCGATACAGGGTCCCTCAGGCCTATGCCTAAGCTGGGTTTGGCTCTCATGACCCAAATGTTTCACACCAATTTTGAAATGAATACTTTAAGAACTGTAGCCTCGATCACATTAATAAGCTTTTTAGATAATGCTTATTTATTGATATGTGGGTGTATAAAATAAATTATTAATTAGAAGGCAACTTTTCTACCTGAACTAACTGCATTTCAACAATAATTCCTCTATCTAAATCCATTAGACTGTAGCTTCCAAACTTAGCAGAGTGTCCTGGTGTATCGGCTCTTCCATCCCCGCCTAAGCAAACATACCTATTTGCATGCACTGTCTCTTCTACATATCTCTGCTGTTGCTCTTTCCAATGTTTCAGAATGACTGGTTGAAGATAATGTTTCTGATGCTTGAAAAAAGTATCAGAAGAAATTGTCATCATCTTGGTCATCGACATAAACCGCAAACATTTACTAGGCAAAGAGCCAGAAAAAAATATGCCAGACAGACGTACACAAAAGCGACTAACTACATTTTTTCAAATTAAAAATCAGAGAAACCCAGCATACTTATATGACATTCTTGAATATTATCAACAAAAACCACATAAATACAATTTAAGAAACATTAGCGAATATAGATATCCTTATTGTAGAACAACATTACACCAAACCTCGTACTTCCCCACAACAATTCGAGATTGGGAATTATTAGAGGACCCCATAAAGCAATCAACCACTCTTAAATCCTTCAAATATCTATACAAACAAAAATTACGTTCCTTAATACATAAAGCGCCAATCTACTACTGTAAAGGTAATAGACATGAAAATATTATTCACACTAGAATACGGCATGGGTGTAGTTCGTTGCAAAATGATTTGTATGAAATAAATTTTGTGAATGATCCCACATGTTCTTGTGGCAAATTTATAGAAAATGCCGAACACTATTTCCTGCAATGTCACTTATATGATGTAATTCGTGCTGAACTATTAAATACACTGTCAAGTTATTCTGTGATAAATATAGATATCCTATTGTGCGGCAATTCAGAATTGTCAATTGAGATGAATACAAACCTTTTCTCTGAAGTTCACAAATATATCAAACTTTCAAAACGATTTAAATAAAAGTTATTGTTAGTAGTTACATCTTAGAATAAATTATTAGCTTTAGCTTTTTTGGTGGATACAATTTTTTTTTTTTTTTTTCCCCGCACCCCCCATTTTTTTTTTTTTTGGTCATTTTATACATACATCAGTTCATTTATATCCCATTTATTAAACTTTATTTTTCAATGTTTTAAATATAATTTTATATTCTCTTTATCACCTCTTCACTTATTTTATATAGAGCTTTGCGATATAATTCATCTGACTTTACTTATATTACTTATAAATTATTTATTATTGTATATACTATTTCGCAATCTTGTTTGTATTAAATAATGTCTATCATTTCTATGTATGGAAAGGGCTTTTCTAAGTTTTTGAAACTTGTGCTCAATCCTTTTGATATTTGTCAATAAAATATGTTTAAACAAAAATAAACAGGAACTTAAAAGATTTCCACCTGGTATTCCACCAATCCTAGGTTGACTGTCCCAGACATTATGGTAATTACATAATCCACATTCAATTTCAATTTGCACCATGGAGCACAATATTCTTTTTATTTGTCCAAGAGACGGACCGGCACAAACAGGGCAGTTGGAAAATAGACTAAGCAACTTCTTCTCGTACACAAGAAATGTTCTTTCTTCACTACTCCTGTAAATAAAATTAAATAGTAATGCATAAAAATATTATAAGTACCGGTACATGTATGATCTATTGAACAAAAATAGAAATATAATAAATTCTGGTCCATATATCTTTGTGAGAAAGAGAGAAATGGGGTTTAACGTCCACTCGACACAAACTAGGTCATTTCGGGACTAACATATGGTTTAATTTTATTTACATAATTCGCTTGCGCGTAGGGGTCTTTAGCAGTGGGAGGAAACCGGAGGACCCGGAGAAAACCCACGAGGTTGGACACATATATCTTAGCCTTTACTAGGAAGAAAATAATTTATGACTGCCAATTAAAATCCAAATATATTTAAATTTATGAAATGAAATTTAACATCCTACTTTTCTGTACTATAATGGAGAATTTTTGCCCAGGCAGCAGCACTACAACCATACTCTTTTTTCAAATTCCAACTGAGTTTTTTTTACATGCACGTTAGTGTGTATACATAACCTCGTTGTTTGTCCCACCGGAAAATCCCAGGTAAAATTACATGTATTACTGAATACACCTTAAGTCATCACTGAGGATACTTTCTGAATCTGTATCTGTAACAGTACTACTAGTAGGGGAAACAAAATCTGAAGAAGCCAGATCTTCAGATTCACTGGATGAGTCTTCTTCTTCTTCTGCTATTGTCTCCGGCGGTGAAGTCTTAGGTGCTGGGACAAGAATATCGCACTGCACACACACACTCTTCATTTTAACAACTCTAGTTTGAGAGGCTGGAAAATACATATAACAAATTGAATACCCGAACTAATAATAGTAATATTACTAAAAACAAAAAAAAATTTTCCATGTGAAATTTAGAAATGAAAATGAAATGAAATTGGGTTTAACGTCCTACTGTTCTGCTCCTATACTGGGCTAATGAAGACGGGCATACGCCATACAGTTTGCTATGAGGGAAATTTGCCCGGGCAGCGGCACTTTCGTCTACTCTTATATCCAATTCCAACTGCCAAGGGATCTTTTACGTGCATTCCAATGTATACATGGGACCTCGGTTTTCCGTTGCATCCGAAGGACTAGACATCTGTCCTTGCCAGGCCCTCCGTTCTGCACCACTGACAAGAGGAAACCACGTCGGAAAATCAAGATGAACTTTCTCGGTCAATGCAGGGATCGAACACCCGACCTCCAGGCTAGCCGCATGAAATTTAGGGATAATAATCCAATTACTTATATTAATAATTCAGTATTTTTCATTATAATGTATACTTCGTAATGATAATTAATACCTTTGTCTGAAGTCTGACAGGAAGTTTGCACCCTTGCAGATTTCTTCTTCTTTTTTAAATTTGTCTGGCAGCCAAAACTTGTCATGTCTGTACATTCTTTTATCTGTAAAAAAAAAAAAAAAAAATGTCAAAGAGGCAATTAATGATTGGATATTTTTTGTATTTTAAGAGATGTGGTGGCTTAGTGAGTAAAACATTGACTGGCTAACCTTTATGTTCCATGTTGGTAAACATCCATAAATTTCTATTTTCACTATTTTCTAAATTTGTGCAGTTAATGGGATTTTTAAGCCATTTTTTAACTAGGTGTTCACAGATAATAATAATTCAAACACCTGTATGGATATACTACTTCTGAATTTATTAACTTCAACATTTTCGATACACATACAGGTATCATTATCAAGCAAATAATGATTATTTATAACAATGTTGTAATTGTTGTTTATTAAGTGAATAAAGTAGTAGTGTTTTTTAATTATTTTATTTTTAAACATACATGCAAGAGCTAAATCTGCCTATGTTATAGACATTATCAATTAGACCTTTATTTACACCACAAGCTCAAAATCAATCCACGGATGGCTTGGATTTAAACAGTCGTCCATTTAAAATTAAATCAATAAATGGCTGACCGAGCTAATGTTTACCGTTAGTCGCTGATGTCACTACCGGAAACTGGGGATGAAAGCCCTGCCAAGCGAGGCTTTCATAGCCATAGACTGGATAACCTGCTCTAAATGACGTCAGGCTGGTTCCTACGTCACTTAGACTGGACAACCTGCTCTAAATGACGTCAGGCTGGTTCCTACGTCACTGCGCTATTCTGACTTCAAAATAGAGACAGGTAGCGGGCAGCCATCTTGCCAGGAGGAATTCCTCCCGACAGTGCGCATCTCTTTCTGCGCACATTACCAATGTAAACAAAAACAGGATCTGACGCTGAAGTAAGCAATAAAGATGTCAACACCAATTAAATGCAGTGGTAGTTTATGTTTAGCTTGTGGATTAGAGCCGAAACTATGCAATTTTTTCTCAATAATGGAATTTAACGGAACAATAATTAATATTTTGGAATTTGAGAAATACGGCAATAAAACAAATGAAAGATGAGAATATGAGCGATTTGCCGTAGCCGGTAAGCCTACGATTGTATCTGATTATACGAGCTGATTTTAAAATGTCGCATTGTTTGGGTTTAAGATAACAATAAGATGTCGCACGATCAACGTTTAATTTGGCTAGAGAAATCTTAGACATTAAAGATAAGATTAAAAAATCTTCTAGCTTACTCATTTTAACGCTGAAATCCATCATTAGGGATACCCGTCTATTTTTAGTAACACTACGTCAAAACATGGCTGCCCACTACCTGTCTCTATGTGCAAGTCAGAAAAGGAGTGACGTGGGAGCGAGTCTGACGTATTAGAGGTAGCGGGCAGCAATCTTGCCAGGAGGAATTCCTCCCGGCAGTGCGCATCTCTTTCTACGCACATTACCAATGTAAACAAAAACATGATCGGACGCTGAAGTGTGCAATAAAGATGTCAACACCAATTAAATGCAGTCGTAGTTTATGTTTAGCTTGAGGATTAGAGCCGAAACTATGCAATTTTTTCTCAATGATGGAATTTAACGGAACAAAAATTAATATTTTGGAATCTGAGAAATACGGCAATAAATCAAATGAAATATGATATGGCATTATCATGATGATGATGTCGATGAACGATTTGCCATAGCCGGTAGGCCTACGATTGTATATATATTATCTGATTATATAAGAGCTGAATTTAAACTGTCGGTTTGTTTGGGTTTAAGATAAAACAATAAGATGTCGCACGATCAACGTTTAATTTGGCTAGAGCAATCTTAGACATTAAAAAAAAGCTTAACAAATCTTCTAGTTTACCCATTTTAACGCTGAACGCCATGATTAGGGATACCCGTCTATTTTTAGTAACACTACGTCAAAACATGGTTGCCCACTACCTGTCTCTATGCAAGTCAGAAAAGGAGTGACGTAGGAGCGAGTCTGACGTATTAAAGCAGGTTATCTAATTTATCATAGCCATTGAGCATGTCACTTGATAATCGAGAATATGTGGGTGGAGTTATCGTCTGTCAATCAAACGATCGCCAATTCTCATACATGGCGCAGACACAGTTGAAGCCTAATTCTAGTCCAAACTTCCAACAGTGACAATTCCGGTCAGGACAAAGTAATTTGACTGAAATGTTTTAACATTTTCTTTCTTTATCATCTAGTTTGAATTATTATATACTCTT